ACATGAGCGCCTCATTATGTTCCACATGGTTCCACATACATCCGCTGGACATTCATTGTGGTATTATCGGGGATTAATTTAGGATATATTCAGGACTATTTTAGGACTTTCTGGACGATTTCAGGCAAGCGTTGTGAATAGGTGGTCAATTGTAAACGTGGTCAAATTACTGTAAGAAATAAGCAACAACACGAGAAAAATTATCAGGGCGCTCCGCCGAGTCTTGAACCGAGGTCTGATCTCTCCTCTGAGTTGACAGACTTCCGTCCTGCCATTGAGCCACACAGCCTCGACGCTGATAGCTTCTCTGTTATGCCCATATAATATTTCCTCTAAATTTCTTACACTACACTCTTAATTTTTAGATAATAAAATTAACTTAATTAATGTATATATAAATGTACTTAATATATTTTGTTGTTAGCACATGATCACGTTAGTATCAAAGAAAAGGACATTCTATTGAAATATTTAAAACTGATTCTTTCAATTAATGTAAATATTAAGTTGTATATAGTTTTGTAACATATACATATACATAATACATTATTTATATATAAAAAATTTTTACGGAAGTCTTTTCCGAAGGACATTCTGAGACTGTCCCACAAGGACGTCCTAAGAAAGTCCCACAAGGACGTCCTAAGCCTATCTCAAGGACGTCCTGGGGCTATCCCCACGATGTCCTGATGCTGTCTCGAGAATGTCCTGAGGCTATTCCCACGACGTCCTGAAGATGTTCAAAGGACGTCCTGAGGATGTCCTGAAGATGATGCCCTAAGAATATCCTCAGGACGTCCTGTGGAGATATGCATGTCCATAAAATGTTCAGGATATCCTGGGACATATTCAGGATAATCTTGAGGACGTCTTGTGCTGTTAGGGTTATTATACTGTATTAATAATTTGATTTTAATTAAATGCATATGTAGAATAAATGTTCTTATAATTTTCATTTCTGTGTGTAATAAAACAGGGAGTAATACTTTAAAAAAATCCTTCGACCTGTAATGTCCGTTATTTCTACCAATGCAGTTTAATTTTAATCTTGGTTTAACTAACTCTTCATTTGTTTCTAATTCTAAAGAATTATATAATTAAATCGAGATTGGCGGAAAGATTCTGCTACATCTTGAATTTATTAGAAAGTGTTATTATGCGATTATATATCATATGTTTTTTTTTCTACAAAAATTATTGCGTTGCAATTACAATTTAAATTCTCGCGATGACATTTGATGACATTCGATCGGTATTAACTGGCATGGACGCCACGAGTACGCTATGCCTATGACTTCGGTAACTTAATTAATAATTGATAATCTCGTTCTGAAGAAATTTAATTAGAGGAGACAAGGAATAAAAAAAATAAAGAAGGAATTCCAGGCAGATCTATATATATATTTTGATGTTTGAAGTCACGAAAGGAGGAAAAGGCGCGTTGAATTTGTCGTCCGAGAGATTCGACTATCGATCGTGATATGGACGGAACCATAATGGAACAGCGGCCAGCGCGCGCAACTTGGATACTCCAGTCCATTGTGAATTATTGTGGAAGGGATTCTTCCACCATGCTCCAGTCTGCTCCAGAGTCCAGTCCAGTGTGATGCATGGTGATGCATTGATGCATAAGCTGGAACGATGTTTGACGGAGCGCGGCAGGTCGTTCCCTTGATTTTCGTCATTGCGATTCTGCACCGCGCTTATGGCGATAGCGTGATCCGAGCGAACGAGAAGAGGCACGGCGGCACGAACGACTATCAGATGTGCCTCGAGAGCTTCGACATCCACAAGGACAAAATTATTAGGACCCAGGACTCCCGCGACATGGGTGCCAAGTACTTGAATGTCCTGGACGTCGACTCCAGATTGGATTGTCTGAAGTACTGTTGCGAGACCGAGCGTTGCGATGTGTTCATCTTCGAAGAAAAGGTAAGACATGCACATTCAACACAATGTTATGTACACAGTGTGTGGACAATGATTCTCATTCCATTTAACTTGCTTTACTAGATCTAGGATTTATCATCACAGATCAACTCTCCATCTCGTTGTTTTGTCTTACAGAAACCGAGTAGCTGCTATCTTTTCCAGTGTGGCCCATTGCATGACTTCAAGTGCAAGTTTACGAGGCATGCCAATTATACAAGCGCTGTGCGCACGAGTTATCCCATACAGAATGTACAAGTGGAAGAGGAAGTTAGGATATCTCAGCAGGAACACGAGTTAAAATCCCTTAGGTATTTACCTTCAATGCTTTATTTCCCTCATCGATTTCGTGATTAATTATATTTTGTGTCTTAGGAAAAGCAATGAGATAACGTCGGATTACGGATTTACGGAAACACCTGTTAAACCTGTAGTCACACAAATATCAAAAGTAATAGTAACGACGCCAATACCGGTCAAGCCAGGTACGTTTATTCGTCAATGTGAGTTATAAAAAGCCGAAGAATTTCTAGATCAATACATAATATAAATCTTTCTTTAATAACAGCTTGTACCAGAAATCAATACGAGTGTCGTTCATCCGGAGATTGCATAGCTATATATAATGTTTGCGACGGTATTCCGCAGTGTGCAGATGGCTCCGATGAAGCGGCAGATCTTGTATGTCCAACGGAGAAACCGACAGTTGCTCCAATAATACAGATACCACATCCACCTGCCGATATGCTCCGATATCAGCAAATAGTCAATCAGCGTAAGCCTCTGCCTCCGTTCTATCCTGGGCCGGAGATTAATCCTAAACCTTGGGATATATCGAATTTGGCCCATCAAATGTCGCAGCCGCAAAATATTTTATATCCTGGCCAACCAGTAGAGGTGCCGCAGATGCAAATGCATAAGAATTACGGATCGTCAGGATACCAATGGGATTATCAGCCTTTGTACGAGCAAAACAAGGATCCTTATGTTCCTGTTAATACTGTTCACGAACAACATATAAATCCCTACGAACGTACGTAAAAAGTATTAATTATTATTCTGCCACACGTATTTGTGATTGGATTGTGTAAATTTTTATATTGTAAATATATTTTCAGAACAACCACACATATTTAATCACAAAGGCTCGAGCGTCATAGAAAATAATGAAGCGAATAGGTAATCTAAACTGTTATAATTTCTTCTGATTATTAGATTAAACTAATAGATAGATTCTATTTTTTGGTTGATTCACAATTTTATGTTAGAGGGCTATATATGGAATCTAAACATCCGTATTCTCCACATTTTCCATCGTCAAATAAAGTGCCAGTTTGGCAAGAAAATCCCGTGCAATTTGCACCATCTGTTGCACCAAATCCTCTACCTAAGCAAGCCAATGATGTAGAAAATCTTTCAATTACGACGACGCCCGCTTGTGATGTAAGTACGTCTCTCGGCATTTGGAATTATTATAGAATTAATATAAAATCTTGAAAAGTTATGCGAATAATTTTTCATTAATAGACCTCGGAGGAACATAAAAATGAATTGACAAATGAGAATAAAGAACCTGTAAAGAAAGAAAAAACCGATACATATTCGACACATGTAAAGACGAGCAAAAAAGTCACTGAAAAACCAACTTTATCAGCAAATGAGGTTACTAAACATAATCGTGCAAAAGAATCAAAAGGTAAATGCACAAATCTATCTTCAATAATAGCTTATCCCTAGCATCTTCTATATTTGCAAATAAATTATAGAAAAATTAATTTTTTGTTAAATGTGTGAACTCATGTAAGTGCTATAACTATTACTATGCATTCTAAAGTTTTAAATAGACCTTGAATATCTTGTATAATGCATTTATCTATTTCTGTTATAACAAGATTTATTCTTTCAGATCATAAAACTGTGATCGTAATCGAAGAGCACGCAAAGACACGCGAGAAACCTGACATTATTGCGGAGCATCTTCAAATAATTGAAAATGATGTTTTAAGGCCCAAAGGTGCTGTGGTGTCATTGTCATTGGGACTTATCGCGACCGCGATCACAGCTGCTTTAATTGTTTGCCGATTGCGAGTAGTAAAACGACGAGGAAGATGCGGACACGGACCTTTTGCACATGACGCTGATTATTTAGTTAACGGAATGTATTTATAAGTGAATATGAGTTGCTTATATACAATTAGTTGCAATCTAGTCATTTTACTATATTGTGCAATCTAGTCATTTAATGCATATTTATCAAATTTTCGTACCACGTTGTATTTCCATGATTGGATTATTAAAATCTGTGAACACTGAAAACACACACACACACACAAGATATATATACACATATATGTTAATCTGTAAAGATAAAGTTTTGTTGTCATGCTTATTCACATTATATAAAGTTGTAAGTGTTTTGTGATTGATAACATTTTGATATAGAAATGTAAAAATCAATAAATTTATGAATTATTGTTATTATTACTGATTTTTCTATATACACATTATATTTATCCTTATCTAAATATTTTTTGTAATAAAAATCTCTTGCCAAAGTTTTGGAATGTAACATAATTAACAGAATTATAAACAATTAATACTAGATAATTGACGCTAGATAAAAATACATTTATGCATTATTATTATTTTTATGCCTTATTAGTATTATTTCTAAATATTCATTAGAAGACGAAACATTTATTATCTTAATAAAATATTATTCTGCAAATTATTTCATATATTCAACAATGAAAAAACTGATAAATGGCCATTTTATTTATTAACAGAGTTAGAGATATCCTATAAAATATTCTCATTTAAAAATAGTCTTCTGATGTATTAAAAAATCGAGTTTAATAACGATAGAACATTATAACCATCTTGAACAATAATGATGCGCAGAGTAAATATTGTCATTGTTCAAATTAATCTCGTCTAATGTAAATAACTAAGAGGAATTTTGTACTCCTCAATTATATCTTTAATTGTACATTATTTTCAATTATACAATTGTTTTAATTTCTATTGTCTATAATATATGTATAACACTAATATAAAAAAAAAGTTCTCCCATTTTTTGTGTGTTAATCTATTTTCTTATTTATAATTTATAATTAAGTCCATAAAGGATGCATTATCGCAAATATCAATTCTACTTTATTATACATATAGAATAAATGATGAGTCAATAATGCATCATTAAATAATCATAATGAAAATCCAACAATCCCTGCATTCCTTCGGTTTTACAAAATCCTTTTTAATCGCAGTTCGTAGAGTTTGGTTCATCAAAATTTATGTACGTGCATTAGCTGCGGCATTCTGTTGAGCTCGAATAAATTCCGGATAATCGATATAACCGTCGTTGTTACCATCGTCCATGCTAAGTATCGGATCTATCAACTGCACTAATTCTTCATCTTTGAACAATTTATCGCCTTGGACACCGGATTCCGAGCCACCTTGTTCTACGGATATAAAGAAAATACTTAAAAATTTGATTATATGAGAAAAAATGCGCAACAAGAAAGAGAGAGAGAGAGAGAGAGAGAGAGAGAGAGAGAGAGAGAGAGAGAGAGAGAGAGAATAGTTCGTACCATGCCAATGTATAAGAGACTTGATCAGCTCACAACCGTCTAACTTATTGTTATTATCTGCATCGTGCATTTTGAAATAGTGAAACTGCAGCTCCTGATCTGTCATCTTGCTGGTATCTATTGGAACGTCAGCATGCTCAGCAATGTGTCTAAAAGAAAAGAAATGCTATCGTTACATAATTATTGTTATATTATATATGTATATATATCTAATAGTAATTATTATATATTATACATACTTTATATATACATATATATATTTAGCTAAAATAAATTTTTACCTATTCAAATACCTACTGTTTTTCGTGCTCTATATTGGCAGTGTTAAGTAACTGAGGAGGCCCTTGATGACCATGCCCATGTGGTTGATGAGACTGGTGACCAGGCACTTGTTGAATGGGTACTTGCTGCTGTACAGGTACTTGCTGTTGCACAGGTACCTGTTGTTGTACAGGTACTTGTTGCATCGGTACTTGCTGTTGCATAGGAACAGGTACTTGCTGCTGTACTGGTACTTGATACTTGAACAGAATGTTACTAAATTAGATACTATTGAACTCGATACTTGATCTTGATTCATACACATATTGAAGAGAAAGCCAAAGATAAATTACAGTGATATATTGAAGACGATAGTTTCACACACACAGATAATGTAAATATGAATCTACCTGTTGCTGTGGTACATGCTGCGCATGTTGCGGTACTTGAACATTCTAAAACAGAAAAATAATTATAAAATAATGTATAAATAAAAAATAAGTAATACAATGTATATCAAACTACTATGACTATTATAACTACTAGATAACAGCTGTTTATTTTATGAATCATGTTAAATACTTTCACACAAGGATTTAGGTTGTTACAATTCCACTCTATATTTGGATATCAAAAACACATGGACTAATAATTAACTTAATGTTTATTTACTAATAGATAAAATTAATTATACCGGCTTTACGCCTTGTTTGGAATCGGCTTCCACGTCATGCGGTACCAGAAAGAACCTCTAAACATATGTTCACCAATTGATTGGGAAAAGCAAGTTACCTGCTGATAATGTTGAGGCGGTACTCCGGGTGCGACCCTTTGCGCCTGGACGAGGATGTATTTGGATCCAAACGATCCGATTATCAGCGCGAACAGTGTCCAATGCATCTTCGTTGCACTTTTCGGAAAAAAGAAAACAACGTACACGTTAGTCGGTAGGCTCGAAGGATATCGTCGATTGCTTGTGCGCTGTTTTGTACACTCGGCGCGATCTAAATTAATTCTGTGAATCGTAATGAATACCTTGTTTACGCTAGGAAATGTCTAGGTAGCTTGTCATCTGCGTGAACGTTTCGTTCATCAACTATTATGAGATTTCGAGCAAACCGCCGTTCTCGAATCACGTCCTCAGAAAAACGTGTAAACTGACGTGGACAGAACAGGACATACCGCGCGTAAAATCATGATGGAAGAAATTTAAGTGTGTTCGTTTTTGAGACAAATTTCGTACGACTCTACGCAGATGCTAGACGCGGCCATTTAAACATTTGCACCGCGGTAATTTTGAATGGAATCGAGAGTTACTATCCACGAGAATTGCTCTCGACACCAACGAGATACTATTAAAAATAGCTGATCTTAGATCTAGAAGTTCGTGTCACTGTAAAAATTTAAGTTATTAACTTACAAAAAGTTATCATCATACCCGGGAAAAAATGTTTTATATATATCAGGATATAAAAAATTAACATATTTTATATACGATTGTATATGTATAATTATATATAAAATGTCCATTATTTATGTAACATTTTTCCCAGGGTAATGTTATCATATTTTGTCTATAAGTGTTTGAGATTATTTATAATTTTGAATTGATTATAAAAATCCTACTGAATAATGATTACTCATTAGAATTTATTTTTAAAACTATTTCACAAAGACTTAAATATATCACATAAATAATAAAGACATCACAACCCAGTAAGAAATGAAATCGACATCGAATTGATGTCGATTCGACGTCGAAATCATCAAATCAACGTCGAATTGACGTCGATTCAGCATCGATTTTATTGTCATTTCTTACTGGGAAGGAAGAGACAAACTGTAGGTACTAACAAAAAATTGCTTTGGTTTACTATTCTGTACATATCAATAAAATATCTGATAAATTTAAAAAATAATCAATGGCACATATCAAAGACAGAGTTAACAAATTGCGAGGTTTAATTAGAGTTCACAAAGATCCGTTATCAATCGGTGCACAAAGTAATGTGGTATATAGGATTGCTTGCAAAAATTGTGAAGCCTCGTGTGTGAGGCAAACAAGCAGGCAAGTCAAGACAACAATATCTGAACATTGCAATCACATCGCTAGAGAAATTTGTCAGTTAACTCAGTGATTACAGACCATAGGTTACAACATGATCATGAATTTGATTGGGATAATGTGCGAATACTGGACAGAGAAAGAAATTTCAATAAAAGATTGACTTCCGAAATGTTACACATTAAAACAGAAAATAAGCCTAAATTAATTTACAAATACGGATACACAATTTCTTGACCATGCTTATACTCAAGGCTAGGTAATATTTAAAATAATTCCATTTTAAATATATATTTAAAATGGAAATAGCATTTTGCATTTTCCATTTTAAATGATTTTTGGAAAATCATTTTTATTTCACATTAATTTGAAAAATGAAATCATACCTATCATTTAACCATTTATAAAATAGGTAAATGTTTTCCTACGTTTTCACAAATTTTCCCTAGAATCGTTGACGTAGAGTAGTGTTGTTTGTTTAAAAAACCAAGAAATCCTCCGCCTTCAAATAACGTCTACGTCTGACTATGAATATCTACGAAAAACTACGAATTTCTGAGACAAACAAACCTCACTCTATGTCTTATTATGAATATCTACGAAAAATTAAGAATTTTTAAGATCTTGTCTCAATCTATATAGTTTTTCTGTACTTTTTCGTAAAATTTTTTTTTGCTTGGGAAGGAAAAAATCATTTTGCATTCGAAAACTATTTATATACCTATTTATCCATTTTACATTTAAAATGGATTCGAAAAACCTATTTTGCATTTTGCATTTTAAATACACTTTTTAAAACTGTTTTATAATTAGTATTTTAAATCGAATTCGGAAGGTCTTGTTATACTTTGGTTCTCGAAACCATCTTTGTGACAAATTTGTTTGTGACTCAAAATATAACATTGCTCCTTGTTAGTTATGTATCAACGACGACACGTAGCATTATTATTGTCTTAGTAGCTGACACGTCAACCACTCTCGTGTAATGAGAAGCATTGTGCATAACTGATACAATTATTCATAATTTTAATATTTGACAAAGAACGCTAATTTTACCATATAATGCGCATTGGTGACTACTGAATGTGATTGTATAATCTGTTTGATGAGTGATTATCTGTGCTCGTTTCTGCGCATACAAAGTTACCATAGACCATTATTGTTTAATTCGTAATATTATTATAGCCTATCTTGTGGAGCTTTTTTTGTTTTATCGGATAAACTATTTAACTAACCATGATGGAACCATGATGGTCGGCACCAGGATTGCACAGATTGCAGAATAGTTTAATATTTAATTAATGTATTTCGTTGAGACTTAAATTAAGTCGAAACGTGTACGAAAGTAAATAGATGTCAAAATAGAAGAGATAATATATATTGAATGTCTACTCCCTGCTGCGAATTCTTACAAGAAAAATTCTTATGAGAGATCTTCCAAGAAAATTTTCTCGTACGAATTTCGGACAGGAGCACACAAGATCGTATAAGAATTAATATATCGCATACGATATCTGTGAGTAAATCAAGAATCTTGAGTGAATTTTATACTCATGTTACATGAATCTTATAAGCATGTACTTGACTCTTTTTACTAGTGTAATTAATGTAACTAATTTTTACTAGTGTAATTAATGTAAAATAAATATTTAATAAACATTTAATGATTATTACTTTTAATATTTTTCGTTAATTATACATTGTACAAAAATTCGTACAATGTATAATTAATGAAAAATAAATATTTATTTTATTTGAAAAACTATTAATAGTTTTTTATTTTTCAGTAATGATATAAATAATGTAAATTTAACTGCAGTATACATATATGTAAAGAGTCGAATTTACATTATTTATATCTTTATGAGATAGAATAATGTAAAAGTAACAATTAGCGTTAAGACTTCTAGAGTATCCCATAAGTTTTGATAATGCGCTCATGTGTAGATTAGTCCGTCTTATCTACACATGTTTCTTAAAGGGTTCTTAAAGATATCTTAAAGTTGTTTTATGCATCAATTTTTTTTACATATTCTGTTTACCGGGTAACTAAAAAAAGTTGTGAAAATAACAAAATAGTAGAAAACTTTTCGATTCAGTTTAGTTTTTCTGTTCTATCTACACACGAACGCTTTGTCAAAACTTATCAGACACCCTGTATATGATAATGCAAATTTAATTCTATATATACAGCATAATTTAAGCTATTTATATCTCATGTATAAAGTAGAGGAAAGTAAAAGTGGTGAACTTTAATAAGACATCTACGTAATTTTTTATTTTCTTTTTTCAGAATTAAGATTTTTTGATAAAAAATTTTTTAAGCACGATTATATAAATAGTATCATGTTTGCGGCGACAACCGTTATTCGAAGCATAACTTTGAAACAGTCAATATCTCAATGCGCTCCACTTACTAATTTCATGTAAGTTTTAATAGCAATTCACATCATTTAATTATAAAAATCACTGATATATAATTGTATTTATAATTTATTCTATTAATGTAATTTATTGTACTGAAGAGGACCCAAATCCAGAGGTCGAAACGTATACTGTATAATTAAGAAGTCATAAATTGTTATGCACTAACAACTTTGTGTCGGCTCGATAAAAGGCATTACCATATTTATACGCTGAAAGAAAAGATTGGTTTAGTTGCTATTTTTTTAGTTTAACCTATCCGCAATGTCAGTATATGATTTCGATAGGCTAACCCAACTAAAAATTTGCTGCTACAATCAAAAATTGGTTGCTGCAGCCATATAAAAATGCTATGCCATATTTTACTACCTAAATTGTTGCAGCAACCAATCTTTTTTTTCAAAGTGTAAATTAATACGTTGAGAAACAATGAAACGGGCATAATATACACGTTGAATGCCATGGGGGTCACCGATGACCGACGATGTCAAGATTAATAGAAACATATACTTAATTCGAATAAATGTCAATATTTTTAAATTTTTCAATAGTATGAAGAAATTAATGCAGTATAGAACATATAAAAATAGTTTATGTATACATATAAAATGTAAAATGCGTAAATATTATTCGCATGTGATTCGCGTAGATTCATATTGGCGCCTTGGGTAAGTGATTCGATGTCGAACCGATATTCCAATGTTATTTCTCACTGAGTCTTTGGCTCCGGAGTTAAAATATCACAGGCCTGATTTACATATTTATAATTTCAACCAACTATATATATAAAGGCAACACTGAAAATTCAGCCAGTATTTTTTGAAGAATCGATCGTGGGTGTTATTTATTAATGGGTTTATGAAAAAAATCGGTCAATGCGAAGACAGTATCACAAAACTATACATATGTATAAAGGTAGATAAGGCCATTTTATTATTTTTTTTTTGTTATTTCACAGATTTACATTTACACACGTTAGATAATGAGATGTTCCTACCTCAGGACAATAGTAAGTAAAACGCGCAACAAATAATGCTGCTGTGGTTAATCTTTTGAGTACGCGCACACGCAATCTATAAAATAGAGCCAATTATTTATATACTGTAGAATTTATGTACGGTATGAAGATTGTATCTCTATCGCATCAAAAACGCGGCCGTATGTTTCATTCTTTATTTAAAGAATATCATCGCTTTCGTCTGTGTGTCGATCAAAAATTAAAAATAATTTTAATTTTAAACTGTCACTGCGAATCGTATTAACACTAAAAAGTTACTATCTAGATCTATGTAATCTAATTTTACATAATTGATATTAGTTAAAATATCTGTTGTAACTCTGATACATTGATATATGTAATAGAAACTATCAAACCGATACATCAATACATATTTTTAAAACAAATATATATATACTTATAAATATTATAATATTATAAATATATAATGTAAAAACGTGAGGGGATTTTTAATATTGTTCTCGTTTTTTATTCTTTCAGCATATCCATCATGAGTAAAATAAGAGTAGAAGTAACCGAAGGAAAATTGGTCGGTGTAGTCGTAAATGGATATAATGTTCGTTATCTTGCTTTTCGCGGAATACCATATGCTAAACCTCCGGTTGGAGAACTGAGATTTAAGGTAAGCGTAGTATCTTATCTCGTTATACGATATAACGACAATGTAATTAACTCTTTAATAACAATAGAAATATGAACTTCA